AAGGTCAAGAACGCCTTCCTCATTGACAATTTGATCAAGATTTAGGGTCAATTTCAAGACCAACTGCACTAACTTGAACACCCCCTTAACCTGTGCCATAGAACACCACAAATCCATTTACAGCAACCATCACTGATGATATCTACAGCTATCACAAAATCGCTGAGCCTACAGATTGTTTGCGGAATTCCGGGAGGTTCATTAACATTGCCAAATGATTCCAGCAGGCTTCTAAGAAACACTTGGATGACGCACAATGTTCACAAACATGCCTACTAAACAATGTCACCCGTCACAACAGGAAGGTTTTTGATTTGTCTATGACAAAGAACCAGTCTTTTCTGCCAATGTATTGGTGTACCGCTCACTGACTGTGTTTGCTTTTGAGGATAATATTGGCGAAAACTCTGGGGAACTGTAAAATATGTTCGCACAAAAAGTGTGATCACTGCTTGAAGGAAGAACTCTATAGGGAAGAGGCAGTGTAATTAATTTATTCAAAGATAACGGATAGACCTAAACAACAAGCAGCTATACTTTCGTGATCAGAATTTCGAAGTGATTCGATGGTCGATAGTATTTTTATTCTATGAGTAACATGGTTAGGGTATCATAATTTCAAACGAGTATCACGATTAGCCGTCAATGTTTATTCGCCCTTGGTTACCATTGCACACCTTAGGTAACACGTTTAGTAGAGTAAGCGTTGGATTCATCTGGTGACGGAAATCAGGTTCATCTGGACGAAGTTCATTACCGATTTTGGATCCGTTTATCTCTCGGTAACCATAGGAGCAGATTTAGACACTAATTTAACGTATCCTCTTTTATCACGCCTTCTGGTTATTCTTGCATCGCTCACCTTATGCTACTCGTAAGTAGACAGTGACCCAAAAGGAATTTTAATATATTATTTTCGCAATAGGTTGTTCAGTCCCCAAACTGCCAATAAAAAACCTCATCACTCCCGAAACCGAATGTCGCAAGGCTCCTCAAACGGTTCTACATAAATGGCAATGGCCACATATAGTTGTGCAATCGCAACTATTTTCGATCAAACGGGCGCGCAAACGCATCTTCTCTGGTGGCCCAATTATCCACAAGGTAGTCAACTAAATTGCGGGTCAAGCAAATTGAGTTTTTGTTGGAAACCGTGGATCTGATGTTGATCAGAGTATTCCGATAATGAGATCTTCCGAGTTCTTCTTTGGTATCCGTTCGGTGAAGGTCGAGCCAAATTTAAACTGTACAATACTGTGTAAACCCAAAGAAATACCCAAAAGTTGTAAGCAAGTTAATGTGAATTGTGTGGTTGTGATTTGGAAATGAGAGTCAAAATCTAAATTACGTGATCCAAGCAGCGAACATGCGACACAGAACTGATCGTAAGGGACCATTCGGAAGCAGTTTAGTTGAGTTCAGTAAAAATAAGCACGATAATAGGAGAAAGGTAAAGCTTATATTGCTACTAATATCCCTGATAAGATAGGTTGCCGGAAAGACCATCGGCATTGTTGTAGGGCGATGAGATTTTCAGGTAGCACCTATCACAAAGGGACCGATTCAGGAGAAAGTTTTCATTGCGAAAGAATGAGACCAATCTGGGTCTGACTAAGGCAATAACAACCAGTAATTAAAAACTAAACATCCTAATCTTGTTGGTTCGTACATGGTGTATCGGAACCATGTTTCGATAGCTCAGGTTTGGTTGACACTTTGACCTGTCGTCTTCTGCAATGCATTAACGGTTAATAATGCTGGTTTATGCCCATGATTTGATAATCAGATCCATCGTCCAACAATCGATTGTGTAACTTAAGGAAGAATAAAAATGTAAGGTCAGATAAACATGTTATCAAATTCCAAAATAATCCAATGGTAACATCAGAACACAAGTCCGAAGGCGAACAATTGTTTTCCAATGATTCATACTCGTGCCTGTACAGATCATATAAGGGTTTGCTGTCAGTGTGCACACATTTCCACGCCGGGTCCAATTGTCATTTGGGGTGAGAAGGGAGGGGGTGGGGTAAGCCCTGTATCTGTGTTCGGGTGAGATTGATTGTGATTTGAGTGTTAGTGGTGGTGGTAATGTTGATGATCATTTTGGGGCTAGGGTAAGTGGAGAGCTTGAACCAGTCGCTTTTGAGCATGTCTGGTGCGAACAGGCGAATGCCTATCGCCTCAGTGGGGGCTAGTGTGTGCAAGCACACTGCTTTAGAGGGGTTGGGGGCACACGATAGATTACGCGCAAAGCGGGTTCTGGTCTAATTTGATAGCCTGTATCCACTAGATGGCCAAGAATGGTGCTTCCTATGCTCTCTGTACCTCCTTGTTTTAACCAGCGTGTAGTGTTCCTTCATGGGATAGTTGTCTCGCCGTGCGACCAATGTACGCTGCATTACAAAAGCACCGGAAAGAGTAGATAACCATAAAAGTGGCCAGTGTAGGCAGCCTATCTTTGTGGCTAGTTCGGATGATAGGCGAGCCTGTGAACACGCATGATAATCGAGCTGCGTTGTAGATCCGCTTCACTGCATGTGTCAGACACGTGTTCAAGAGGTCTGATATAGCATCTCCTTGAAAAGGTAGACTGATGAATAATATCTTCTTTTGGGCTTCATGAACCTGATCGGTTTACCGCCTTTCCTGAAAGTCTCTCAATAAACCGTTTTCTCCGAGAACATCCTTAATTTTTGTAAGCTCTTCATTTACCACATTGTTAGAGCAGATCCTGCGCGCTCGTGATGTGAGACTGTGAATTAGATTCGTCTTCTGTCTAAGTGGGACGAAGCTGTAAGTCTATATTCTCCCGTTCAAGTTGGTTTTCTATGTATTCGACGCTCTAAAGAACCATAATATTTTCGGAGTACCACATCTAGGAAGGCCAATTTGTCATCTTCCGTTTCCAACGAGAACTGAATTGATTCGTGAGCTTCGTTTCATCGTTCGAGCAACCTTATCGTGTTCCTACCTTTCGGTGTGAGACAGAATATATCGTCCACGTAGCGACAGTATAGACTCCTTTGCTCTATTTCTCGCTTCAACGTTGTACCTTTTGATTTGGCCATAAATATATCTACTAGCAATGGGACTAATGGGGAATCCATGGCCACTTCGTCTATCTGACGGTACAATTTTCCATCAAATAGAAAGTGAACATTGTATGTACATCTCAGTAGTATCTCCTTCAAATTCCTCATTGGTATTTCCATGTGTATTTGTTCATTATCAGCCAGCGGAACGTAATGAATGATCAAATGTTTTCCCTGAATGTAGCGTGCTTTTTCACGAACGTACCACTATTAGAAACCATCGATTTCCTCTGTCACCAAATAGAAACTGAACGAACGAATTTGAGAACTGCGGTCCAGAATTTGTACTTATTGCTGCGCACGTGTTTGTATTACTCCATTGAACTAAGACTGTTTTGAAATTAGGCTTGCAGGCCCCGGTCGTTCACCGCAGAAACGCTACGTAGAATCGCTTCACTTTCCCCTTCCAATTTTAATACATTATTTAACATTCCTCCGGAAGCCAACCACATACCATATTTCCCCGATATCTGACAGCCTAGGCCTCCGACCACACTCATGGCTATATGAACTGAGGCTAACTAAAAGTTAACCTTTTCGTTAGTGGTGCGAGAACTTCTTTCACCAGCTCTTAAAATCTCCCCGCCACAACTTAAGATCAGCAACTTCAAACAGAATCGTCGAACGAATGCTTGCTCCAAATACACCTCCTTCAGTTCATGGGCATACCCAGAACGTACGTTAAATCATAAAGCCTCAGAACTATGGTTAGTGGATGTTTGCTAGCACCTCGCGAACTGCCCTACACGAATAACGAACGGTCTTGAGCATTTGACATTCGGATCCCAGTCCTGGCTTCAAATACAGAAAAATCTGTTTACTGAACACAAAGCTGTTCGACCCAGATGGAACACCAATTGAATGCTGAATCGAAACACTAGCTTTACTTTTTATCCACTCATAGAATGCAACAAAGGCGACAAAATGCAAAATTCCGGCGCATGAAGTCCCTGATAGAAATCTTGTGACGATTCATATTACTGTTCCCTAGCCCGTACGATGATGATGTTGTATCCGATCATTCACTCGGAACGTCCAGCACAAATCGCTGTTGCTGTTTTCGAGGGCGGATTCCAATTTTCGGGGATTTACGCATCACATAGATGATTATGAAAGAGATTATGAAAAGGAGGAGTAATAAAATACGGTTATCTCTCCCCTGGACGGTGCGAACTAAGTAATTTACAGAGATATTCTTTATTGTAACTCACAGTCGCGGCAAAATTGTGATTGGTCACGTTAGGACTGTATTACGTCGATCTTTTATCACATTTTACACGCATATATATATATATATATATTCAATGTGATAAACGCAACGCAGCAACACAATACAGACGCTTGATACTGAAAAGGCATCCTGCATTGAGGAGCTAGTGGAATGTTGACTGGCAAAACTGTCTGCCCTAGACCTCCAAGTGGCATAAGTGTGTGCACTCCGAGACCGAGGAAGAAACAACAGGATCAAATCACTCATACGAACATCCGTAATATGAAGTAACAACTATTGACTGGAGCTATACAAACCGAATTGAATTTACTTCTCTGACACACTAGCTTGTCTACACAATAAATTAACAAAAAAGGAAGAAACACTCGGACGCGACGGCTCAGAGTCAATCGGTCCGAGTGTGGAGGACAGAACGCAACGCTCGACCGAACAAAGATGGATCGACTGCGGCAAAGGCGTGTGTGTGGGGATGTTAACGGGAATCAGTGAGTGGTGGTGGTAGGAGAGCATGGAACAAAATGACAACTGACAAATCGGAATCAGCATGAATGTCACAAGCAAGAACAACGGGGATAGAGAGAATTGGGGATGGGGCGGGCATCGAATTAAAGCAATTCCGTCGCCTCAGAGAAATTCGGCAGGGAATCACCTTGCCGCGAACCGAGTCACCGGATTTATGATCGAGTCATGCCGGAAAATGAGAAGCGAGGACGAGGTCGTTTCGCCGCAGCTTTGGCATACTCTTCGCGTCGTTTTGCCTCCTCCTCCTGGGAATGGAAATTAGTGGGAACAAAATGTACATGAATCGGGATTTGGTAATAACTGATGTATTTATTAAATCTCGTAGGTTGAGGCAGGGTGACCTATACCCCTAAGTAATCACCTTTCAGAAGTGCTTTAGGGTTTTACTCTCCAAGGAGTCGACAGACTTATTCCACCGTTATGTTTCTATTGATATTTTAGTTAGAAACCAAGAATGTTTTGTAGGAAACTTACTTTAACCTTTACAGTAATGTTGTACTTTTTCTGTTGTTAATGTTTTGTACTGTTAACTTTGCCATACTATTCTGGGTCCTTTTTCGGTTACTCGTTATGTGACTGCTGAATATTTACCCATCGAGATGCATAAAGCGAGTGTTTGACTTGACTTGATCGCCCAAGGAGTGAACGAAGGAGCATAACAGGGTTGTTGGGTCCACTTACTCAATGGATCTAATAAGCCCTTTTTTATTGCTTACTGGATCGACGTTATCTGCTTCATTTCGTGTTGGATTTCCCCTCTATTCGTGCGACGTAAACTACTGATGAAACAACTAATCCAGAGCAATGATAGGACACTACGTCATATCGGATGAGAAAGAAGTGATTTACGGAGAAAAATGAGCATTTGTAAATATGAGTAATGAATAAATATACGCTTTTAGTTTCTTTTTTGTTTTACTGTACAGTCAACTTTCAGAGAGGGAGGGTTGCAGTTGAACAAAGGTTGCCTGGGAAAACAAAAATGAATCAGATGAGCGGCGGTGACAGGGTACGAACTCAAGACCCCCCGAGCTACTATTTTGATGGCCTTAACGATGTTGTACATAAAAGTGAGCGAATAAGTTTACTTTGTTGAGATGAAGGACTAAATGCGGTTCCAAGAATACCATTTTAAGGACTGTGCCTCTTTCAAGAGGTATACGAGAAAAAAATAAAAAAGAACAACTAAAAAACCGAACACTCACCATTAACTGTTCATGCCGTTCACGGAAGAGAGCCAGTGGATCGTCGAACTCTTTATAGTATTCTAAAACATCTCGAATATCATCCACGTGACCCATGGCAAGCACTGAGAAGAGGGATGCAATGCAATGAAACGAGCGCGATTGGATTACGGTGAATGTTGGCCGCATTTCATCAGAAACAAATAAGGAGGGGGACTGAGAGAAAAAATAACATTAACCATTGCTAATAACTGAAGGGCTAATGATAATACCAAATTACGATTACTGAGACAAACCAGTGATTTTATTCCAAAAAACTCCATCGTTCCTTGATATGCGCAGGAAATGTGTCTGGGACAGACCTGGTGTACTTATGTGGCTTACACTAACAGGATCCTGAATTCGTATCTCCGATATGTAATGGACACCAAGTTCAAAAGAGTTCATTGTACACGCGAGGCGCTTGTTGACCCGCCTGGAGGCCCTAATAAGTCTTGGATTGATTACTCCTCTATTGATTTTGTCAATGACTGATACGCCAACTCTAGTCTAACCTCCAATTCGGAGGTTACGTCTTCGGCTTAAGAAAAGCCATCCTGTGCACCTCATTGGGTCACAGAAGTGCACAAGCCATCACACCACGTCAATGTGCAGTTGCATCGTGATGCTAAAAACGAACGAGCACTTCGATGCCTTGAATGCTAGACTACTGAAGTCGCACTACCTTGTTGGAGATTGTGTCCTGCGGGTGGAACTCAATACTAGGTCTCAGACACCAACGGACCCGGATAGCGAGCTTGTGTGCACTGTCGATGCATAGCAGCCATGTATTCAGTTTCAGTTTCAGTTTGTACAACCATTAACGATGCACTTTCGTGAGCCGGTTTTGGTTGCTGTCTCATGACTGCTCGTTTGGATAAAAGAGCAGAAGGAAGAATGAAACGCTGTAAGCAGAGTCACAGAGAAGATAGAGAATTCACATGGAATAAAGTTGCAAGGATAATGAGTAGATGGGACGAGCGCCACTGTTTGCGACACTCAGCCATATCACTCAGGTATTACATTTGTACACAAGAATGAGAAGAACAGGAACCTGGTAGACTAGAAGTTTGATCTCAAGGCTAACTCCAATCTGCGCCTCAACACAACCCCTGTTCCCACAAAGCTCTTGGAGCGTTTTCNGCGTTTTCGATCTGGATGAGCACTTCGTTACAGACTTGACCGTTGGGGTGCGGCAGTGACCCCAGGGACCTGAAGGAGGTGAAAGTACTAACTGGTTCTTTATTCAGGGATGAAATGTGCTCTGTGGTAGTTGGAGCAGTTGAAGAAATCTTCATTTTGGCTATACTCATCTCCGAACCGATAGGGCGCACAACGCAGTTCACATGATCAAGTGTTCTCCGCAAATCGGAGAAGTTATCAGTTAGCGGCACATCTGCGATATTCGGATGTCATATATATATATATATATATATTGCGTTGGCTTTGTTGACCACAAGATGAGTCTTTCATAGTTTTACCGTAAGTACAAGGTGGGCGGAGAACATGCACCGTTAATGAGAATGACTAAATCGGGTAAGAAAAATACCCGAGGCTGTGCTTCGTAATCAAACAGAAAAAGCATGGAGAAACGTACTGCGCAAGAATGCAGCCAAATCAATCAGTTCACGATCGGATTCGTTGCCTGACCATCGTTTGATAATCAGTGCATTCCGCGGTTGCAAAGAGGCAGCCTCCTTGTCCCAATCGATGAGGATCACACGCGACAAATCCCGATTCAGGCAAGACAAATCCTTGATATGCTTTCCGTTCTTGTATCGTGTAGCCTCCCGAAACAGACGGTAGTGAATAAACTGGCCTTGTGGGTCCAGTTGCATCAGAACCGGACCGCCAGTCTGTACGGCAAAGGGGAAACGGATGAGAAGAGACATGCAACAACATTAGGACTTCAGAACGGATTTACGTTTAATTCGGGGAGGGGTAAACAGAGAGAAATACAAAAGGGAGATAGACAGAAATCGAAAAACTGAAATAGTAGGCAGGTCATAGATCGATTTCACTGCTCGGAATACTCAATACCGTCAATCAGCGTTACGGAAAAACCTTGTTTTATGCCAAAAAATGGAAACATATTTGCCGGTTATATTTTTTCTCCAATCGTAAGGCCAAAAGGGATGTAACGGGTAGCTGATAGTAGTAGCAACTCAGATAGAGGTGAGTGAAGAGCACGAAGATTAATGCGTGGTCAGACTCAACGCATGAGATCCAACAGGACTGTTCGGTTTCTAAATAATGCAAAAGATTATAAGAACCATTAGATTCGAAACGACTAAAACAGGTTGGTTGGTTGGTGGTAAATAACTGTTAGACCGAACTACAATTGCTTATGTACCTATTTGGCCGACCATCACTCCTTTGATATAAACGCACATGCGCGAGTCAGAGAGCGGTTAAACGATAGACAGATAAACGTGCGTTTGTGTTCGGTGAACGATCGATCGTTAGGATATTATTTATTGTGCAAAGTGGCGGTAGGAATGATGTTGTGATTCCTCGCACTTAGTCGCAGTACAGATGTGTGCAAACACCGAAGCTTGTGATAAACTCGTCCATAAATACCGTCAGATTCCTGTCCACACCTAAAACCAATATTATCCAAATGCATTTCAATCTTCTGCACTAGATTTAAGTACAAACTCGTTCAAGCACGCACAAAAGCGTACAACTACCCTATAGTTCCGTATTTTGTGCACTTCTTTGTCACCCCAATCGTACTTTTCACGATTTGCTCGCTACTTTGGGTAAATTTCGTGAACCCAGTGTATTTATACGTTCAAATGTAATGGAAATGTTTGTGATAACCAACAAAGAGCACTCCCAATGGAAGAACCCACACCCAAGACCATCAAGAGTGCCTGGTGCCTCTGAAAAATCAAAGGGGCTAATCCAAGTTTCATACTCTATATTTATACGTTCCTCCATTTTTTGTGGGACATTTGGCAGCTGAATTTGCCTCAGAAGGTGTAATTTAATAAAACCACTCGTTGACTTGACTTGAAATGAAAGTGAAAAAGAAGGAAATTTCAGTGTTCTGAGGATCAAGAAAATAGGGGGATGGTGTAGATGAAGGAATCTGCATGAGCGCTGCTGTACACGACACCTAGCAATGGCGCGGTATCATTATAATGTAGCCGGGCCTTGGGGACCCGGACGAAGAAGCGAGACAAAGGTAACGGAGCAAAGTCTATTGCTCAGGATTTCTATACCATTTCGTCAGGTCAGGTAATGACAATCCTGAATCCATCAAACAATATTGGCCTCGACTAATCTCGACCTCCATCGCAGCCTGTGGAGAAGTGTATGGAACGTGTTCTCAAACATATCACTATGGAGTGATCGGCCTCGAATTACAAACTAGGCCAAACTAGTGTAGCAAAACGATTGGATTCGGGTTTTTTTTATTGAATACTCTTGTACGGTAAACTATAGACGGGGTAAACCCCATACTCACGAGAGACCGTCGTTCACTCATAAAACCAGCCAGCTAAACCACGGACCTCGGAGAGGTGAACCACAGGCTTCACTAGGTCAGGCGTAGCACTGAGCCGGCCTAGAGAGATACCACCCACCACCAAAGTTGGGTGGTGGTGACAGGGCTTCAAACTCGGACCAGCAACGGAATGTAACAGTGGGTTGGATATCAATCAACTCCTCTACGTGGAAGACATATGCAAACTCTAATTCTTCAACCATCGATGAATAAAGCTCAATCTCAATTTCAATGGTATTTGCTCTATTTTCCAGTCCACTTTGAGTGATCATATTACCCGTATTTCATTCTGTTCTGTTCTTACAACTATTAACCATGCACTTACGTGCGCCTGTATTTGTTGCTGTCTTTTGGTTTCCCATTTGGATAAAACAGCAGAATGGAGATTGGAAATAAACTTCAAGCGGAAGATAGCGAATTTATATAGACTGAAGTAACAGGAATAATGAGTAGATGCATGAGCGCTCACTTCAACTAGGAAAGTATTAGAGCAGGTGGATAAGTTTGTTATTTAGGCAGCTACATCTCACCCAGTAGAGGCATCACGGATGAAGTGTCAGCTCGCATACAGAAGGCTCGGTTGGCATTTGCCAAATTGAGACATCTATGGAGCCGTCGCGACATCCGGCTGTCTGTGAAGGGTCGAGTGTATGCCGCGACAGTTCGGCCAGTTCTCCTATAAGGAGCGGAAACTTCGCCATCAAGAAAACAGGATAAAGGTACACTGTTGGTGTTTGAACACCGTTGTCCACGCAGCATTGCACGAATCTGGTGGAGCAACCGGACAGGCGCAGTTTTAGGCAACCGCGGTCGCCCACGGGAGCAAGTGTTCGACCTCCATAGATTACTTTGGTTGGGACATGTGTTGTGCACATCACCAAATAGGTTGCCACAGCGAGCAATGTTTGCCAAGGCAGGTAGTGGGTGGAATAAAGCCCGGGGTGGTCAAGCTAAGACCTGGCATGAGAGTATGGAAGCCCTAACCAGGACACTGGGTCACATAGGTCCTGTTAGGCTCCCTGGCTGGGGACCTCAGGATGATCGTAACCGATGGTTAGACACACCGAGTGATATGGCTGGGTGTCGTAAACAGTGGCGTTCGTGCATCTCAATTTTTCTGCATCATTGGTCCACTGAAATTCTCAATTTTCTCTTCGATCCTATTTTCAACCTTCCTGTTTTTCTCTTATTGTTCACCCAAACGGGCAACAAAAGACAGTAACCAAAAGCGCCGCACGGAAATGCATGCGTAATGGTTGTTTAAACTGAACAGAACTGGACTGATTTGTCAGTCTTCTGTATTATGTTATTGACCTCCCAATGATTAATTGCACTTTTCTACATTCCTCTCGATTAGTTCCGCTTCAGACATTTTCTGAAGAACGCTGAAATTGCACTCCTTTTAATCTACCTTTCATTCGAACAACTGACCGTCTATCGCAGTAGCATTTTTCCAGTGCCAGAATCAGTCGGAACTCCACGATCCCTTTCTATAGAAAATTTTTCACTGCATCACCCATTCCCAAATTCCGTTGAATTGTGCTGTTCACTGGGAAATACAAAATGCTGCCTTCAGCCCATTATCATATGTTCAGCGCAGTTCTGACTGGGACTATGCAAAAATCGGTGGACAATCTAGAGTTTCGGTGGAACAAAAGGATTGTAAGCTAGGTCACATATACCGAGTACCTCATACAGTACTATAACCTGGCGGGTTTATAAAACAAAAAGGTACCATAATTTGCTTGTGGTCGAGACTCTGCCAGGTAGCCCAGGCCAAGGCAGGTAAATTCTCTTGGAGGAGAGTATGCCTGACGTGTATTAGCCAATAACAATCTAACAGTAATTTCGGACCGAATGGACAAAAAAAATCGACAAACCTGTCCAAATAAATTCTCACGCCCAGGGATTCCTACGGTATGGACTTGGGCAGTAACTCAGTCATCCACGCAGGAATGTGTGTACTGCATAATGAACCGGAGATCAGGATTAAACAACTACCAACAACAAATCACACACAGGGGACAGTTAATCGTTTTTAATGAATCCCGGTGTGATTTGTCACTTCAAATCCTATGGATCCCATACATGAAACACCATAGGATTTATTCCTTTTGGTGTCGAGTACCACGTTGCGGTGTGATTTTTAAAAGACAGTTTTACCACTTACCATAGCGGACTCGTTGGTGAAAGCGACGACTTCATAGTATGGGGATAACTGTTGAAGAAATAATTCCAAAGCGGGACGCTTTTTGAAACGCCAACCAGTACGAAACTATTAGAAAGAGATGGAGGAAGAATAAAGAAGCAAATAGATAAAAAGGAAAATCCCACAGAGCAAACCTTCCAGTCTGGATGAACCAAAATATCATTGATCTCTAAAACCAATGTGTACGGAGGCTGGTAATAGGGTGGTTGCACCGGGTCTGGGAGCAATTTCTCACTGACTGGATCTTTAATGCTCTAAAAACAAAGACAATGTGGCTCGGATGTTGTAGGGAACACAAAACGTACCTGGTTAAAATCAACCAAAGAACCCCAAGCACGACAGATATAGGCGATCGGAGTGGATACTGCAATACGACATCAACCGGACCGCGATAGAAACTTACATTGGCTGTATTTATCCTCTTTCTATTTGAGAAAGTAATAGTGAAAACTCTTAGACTTACCAAAGTACCATCTTCATTCTTTTCCGGTGGGCCTACAAGTGCGGACAGAGATATCCGAACAGAAAGATGACTTACCCCACAAAGCCACAACAAAACCGAAGCCAAACACAGCCGAACATCCTAAACTGAGAAAACCCAGCTTCCAGGCATTCTTGCCACCCCATCGACCAGGGTCCGTTTTCTGACTTTCACTATTAGCCGAACTAGAAGATGGTTGTCCATCGATCGTTTGTGCTTGTTCCGTTGGCTGGCCACTTTGTGTAGTCTCATTCGGTTTCACTGTTGTAGTGACCGTTGCGGCTGCACGTGACCGGGAACGGGGGAGGAGAAAATCACTGACGTGATTGTTTAGGAAAAACCGAGTAAACGTCGTCTGATGACGTAGTGAGGAAAACATGAAGGGAACGTGCACGCGACTCAGCGGAGATTCGATAGGGTCAAATCCATTCAGAACAGATGCTTTTGCCACCCCATCGACCAGGGTCCGTTTTCTGACTTTCACTATTAGCCGAACTAGAAGATGGTTGTCCATCGATCGTTTGTGCTTGTTCCGTTGGCTGGCCACTTTGTGTAGTCTCATTCGGTTTCACTGTTGTAGTGACCGTTGCGGCTGCACGTGACCGGGAACGGGGGAGGAGAAAATCACTGACGTGATTGTTTAGGAAAAACCGAGTAAACGTCGTCTGATGACGTAGTGAGGAAAACATGAAGGGAACGTGCACGCGACTCAGCGGAGATTCGATAGGGTCAAATCCATTCAGAACAGATGCTTTTTATTGTTTGGATCGTATCAATCGTAGGATCAATGCACGGTGCACTGGTT